ATCTCCCATAAATGTATTAAAGTCTTGGACCATCATTCTGATGAACAGCGTTACAACTAATTCTGCACGGCAACCAGTAGGCGAGTAGAACCAAACGACATTCGTTCAATATGGCTCCCAAGTGTAAGTCAGATTCCTGTAATGTTTTTATGTCCTGGATTATGACGTGATGATGATGACGATGATGATGCTGCTTCTGTTACCACTGTGTGTGTGGGTCGGTGACATAGGTACTACATTTCTTTCTTATAATTCTTCAATTATCCAATATTTTTATCTAGAACATATTGGGAAAGCTGTTCAACAATACTCACCGGTAGTTCTGAAGGATCAGGAATAAATCCAACATCTTCTCCAAAGATAAAATCTGGAGGTAATTCCGGATAATTAGCATTAAATATTATGTCCCCTGTAAGAAAACATAAACAAACTGTTTTGACCTGTCTGGTGACACATGGCAAACATTTATCATTTTTATTGACTCTTAGTTTGTAATACTAGCTACAGGGTAATGTTAGCAGATAAAGACACGTTTCTCTAAAAGGTTGAATAAAGGCTGCATTGTTACCAGTAAACATGCCTGTTAGCCATCAGTAAGGAAGAATATACTTAACCTGAGTATTTAAAGAAAATAGAGTTAAAAAAAATTCAACTTTTCTCACATTGGCATAGACAAGCTAACACGAATAACTCAGCACATGGCTCAGGTGGCTGTACACACTGTTCTCTTTTGAAGTTTCACAACACTGTTTGCGTGTTACAAGGGTGTCCTGTTCTGCTTTTTTCTGTTTCTCTTTTTTTCCCCAACTGTTTAACCACAGAAAAAAGAAGGAGAAAAAACAACCACATGTGGAAACATTTTCCCAGTGGAGTCAAATGGGGAGAAAATGACTATAAATCTGTTACAAACTCCTGGAACAAAGTCAGTAATGTACTGGCAGACATTCAGACCAAGACAGGAAAAGACAACATGAGGATTTTGAAATCCAGGGTAAAAACCTGACAGGTTAGTTGAGAGGATTTACATAT